AGAACAACGTCGGCAGTCACAGGTGATCTTTAACGACCTTGTAAACTAAACATTTTTGTGGACAGGGATGGGAAGTCGTGATGGCAAATAATGTACAAATTCATTTCACTAAGTAATCAAGACGGTTACGATTTTTCAAAATGCAGATACACATTCACAGGCGTAAAGTATGCTCAAATAGAGCATAACTTCTTCAAGATCAGATTTCACGGTGCATTGCACTGTCTATTTGTTCATCGTTGCTTATGGAGGGAGGGAGATTTAAATAGGTTCGTTGTAAGAACATATTCTGGTATTTACGAGACAGCACATAAATAATAACAGGTCCGGAAGCGGACAAAATGATGTACGATTCACTCGGCACAGCAGTTACTCATATACCAAGGAGCCATTGACTATTTAAACGGCCTGAGTGGCCAATTTGGAGCACGAGGGGTGCAATACGCCATAAAGTTAGGTCATAAAGAACTTATGCGTTATTCGGAGAACCGCTGCATATCGCAGAAGAAATATTCTTTATCTAGGTTTGCGAAAGAACTCAAAACTCTTAAAACGTCAGAACTAGCCATTTAGTTGAACTAGCCACTTCATACCATTCTGATGCGGCTCATCCTTTCAAGTGGCGGGCAACGACGACCTCTGCCTGCCTCCGCCGTCGCTGCCGTCATGCATGTAAATATCCCTAACTAGAAACAGAACGGAACTTGTCTGCATCCACAAACCTGTATATCTTCTAGTGAATTTTGGTCCATTAAACGATCACGCTCATGTAAGTCACGCCTAGCCACAGCATGTTTAGCTGAACAGCAGTTTTTATTACATATATTTCATTTCTGCCTCAAAGCATCGATAGCAGCAGTTCAGTTGATCACAAGAAATGCGTAATCCTTAGTAGATAAGGCATCTGACTCACAAGAGGAAAATCATTAATTAATTACCCGAGTTGATCGCAAGTCTTTCCTCCTTCCGATGCAGGTAAACAAATTGCATGATTTACCAGGTTAACCTGCGATAGGCATTCACTAGCAACCACATCTGTGTGGACAACGGGCAACAGTTGATTACTCCAACTGGCTACATTTAATATTATCAGTGCAGTCCGCCAGATGTTCAACGCTGAAGCTGCCCTGGGGTCGGTAAATCAGGAGTAAACGAAACAAGTGCGAAATCGGTACCACGCAGCTATGTGAAACACTCTTCGGTCAAGTTTATTGTAGGAAATTCGTAGTTCGGAATCACATGGATCAGCCCAGCAAAGTTCGGGTAGTGAGGAACAAGAAGTAAAATACAAAAAAGTTTGTTGGTATTCGTTACATTTTCATGAAGTCATTGGTGGGAGAGCTTTCCACCATTTCCATGCCATGAGACTGGAGTGCCCTAGTTTTCGGAAGGCACAGTCTGCAGTAATTATGCGGAAATCCTTGCGTGTAGTCTTCGATTTCCTTGCCACAGAGTGGTACCGATTTATTGATCTCGGAAGAAAGGTAAGTAAAACGGGGCTCGAACACGTGACATATCCATTCTGACGAGTTCGACGTTCTATCGACAAAGTAATCCTTGTTTAGAACATGCAGGCGCAGTGATACATGATCCATGGATAATAAGACTGATCTGAATATCTGAGCTCGGTACGTCAGATGAATACCATCAGCGACGCACAGTGATAAGCCAGATTCACGTTATTCAGTTGACACATCGGATCGTAGATCGACATAATCGTAGTTCAGATACAACTGTACAGGGGAAAACGATGGTCAACGGTTCGTTCGTGATATTCTTCATATTCATATTGTTCATGCGAAACACAGGTGAGAGTGAACATCATGTAATAAACCAGCAGAACATATAATATTTCGTGCCTCGACGGTGATACGGTGCGATTTGTGATTTCAGACCTTCGAAAGGAATATCGATTGATGTAAATAAGGCAAATGTGTACTTTGGGACGTTTCTGAGATTCTGATCAGAGAAAATCTGCGGCCTGGCTTTCGGATCAGAGCAATCTTACTCAATGCCATATACCCGTGTCCGTTAGTATTCTAGTACAACAGCGGTTCCTGACAATCAGCCTATAGGTAATCTTCTGAGAATTTGCATCAAAGCATTCTAATGCACTAGACACGGTTTATGTTGTGAAAAATTCTCGCCTTGCCTTGACTATCACGTTAACTATTCGTTTCGCAACGTCGTCACCGAATGTGAAAAAACCGGTGGTCAACTTAGGTATGGAGGTATGTGCCAATATCGATCGCATGGACAGTTATGGCTCGACAAACACTTGTGTGAGTTGGAGAGAGAAAGATAACAGAACACTGCGCCGTATACTTATGACACATGTAGACATTGCGGTAAAATAGGTCATCCGTAACTGATCGATGTCACAGAAATTAGAGATTAGAGTTGAACCGGAAGGTAAGAACGATATTACAAATCGCGGTAATGATGACGATTAAAAATACAGCTTTTTCAACATCAGCTCATGCATTTTGAAACAAACTGTAGCTGCCTCATCAATCACATTAAAATAAAATGATGTACCCTTAACGCTATATTTTACAGAATAAGCAGAAAGAAATTAACAATTAATATGTAATCCTTTAAAATATCGAATTAGACGCTTTAGTATTAAAAACTCGAGAAAACGATAACAATCATCACTAATAACTGACCGTAAAAAACCACATTTTCCCTTAGTGTACGAGTTTGCTTTTATTTTGCTTTTTAATTTATTATTTCATGACATTTTATGAAAACTTAAAAAATGGTCCTAAACTGTTCAGTGGGTTTTAAAAATGAAAGTGCAAACTTCAAGCAATCAATTTATGCAGCCGATGCGTAGCCAGCTTGGTGACGAATTATTAAGCTGTGGACATGGGAACACGGGAAACTAACGATCATTCGTGCCGTAAAACTGTGCGGACTAGAAGATCTCATGGCGCACAACCAACCGACAGGATCAAAAAAATTACTTCGGACGACAGTCGAAAAAAGACAGGAAATTATATGGAAGCGCAGCCAGTGGAATCTGCAAATCGCAGTAAATTTCGGATGGTGCATCGAGTAAACCGCAGCACAAGTATCAGAATTTGGGATGTCTGAATTGAGGTCATTAACCGACAGGTATTTGAAGAAATCCGAGTCAACGATGGGACAAGTAAATGCTGCAGACGGGAGTACAGAATGTCGCATGAAAAGCAACGTCAATGATGACGACAAGAACGTGATTATGATAAGGACGCCGACTATCACAAGGTGGATAAGGATGAAGGAGAATAATCGATGGAGGTAAGATAACGGGCGTACAGAAAACTTCATCAGGCGCAATCTGATTATCTGCAGAACATGAAGTTGGTGAAAATCAGACTGAGGTTATCTGAAACGAAACAATAAAAAAGAAGAGAGGGATCTGAATCGAACCGAATCGACGATAAAGTCGCATGCGAGAAAAACGAGTTGCAGACCGGAGTAGTGAATAACGTAACAACTAATGACAACGATAACGACGTCGATCATGAGGATGTTAATAACGATTCTAAAAAGATGGTAATTATCAGGACGAGGATAAAAACTGGATTGGCGTTGTCTTAAACGATGCCATGAAAAATTAACGAATGCATGGTATGAGAGACTCGTATGTAAAAAGCAGGGGCTGCGAACCGGAATTTTAAATATTTTAAGAATTTAACGTTGATCATAAAGTTGGTGAGAAAGATTATTAATAACTGTAATAATAGGAGCGGATGATGAAGATGATTAGATGAAGAAAAAACGCATTCCACGTAAGTAAAATGAAGCAAACGGTCGGCAAGAGTCGACTGTCGACGCAGTGAAATGTTGTGAAAACGAAAAACTCGTGCACAAATCATTCATGTCATATTTTTGGTCACCACCGGACAACCGTGTTCTTGTGAACAACGACGAACTCATCCACCTTCTGTTGAGCACATCTGAAGTAGGACACAAAAATGAACAAAACGAACAACGCACTCACCAGCAAGAGCTTTGATTCTGGAACGTTCAAAAAGACGAGCGGATGAATTTTCGTCGTATTCTTCGACACCATGCTCGTCGACATAATCTGAAGAACGGATGACGATGTCGGTCGTCATGGCAAATGTGCTTATACAACAGCAATGATGACGATAGAAGAGGTGTTCGTCTTCGTCTTCGAAGAAGAAGAAGATGAAGGAAAAGTAGAAGTGAAATCAGAAGCGGAAGAAGTAGTGGTCACTGGTCAGCGTCAGAATTCGTTGACGGTGGTGACGGCAGCGGTAGCGGACGAACGGAACGGACCGGCAGCAGCAGCAGCAGTAGCGGTAGCGGTAGCGGCAGCAGACTGACGGCGACGCTGATGTCCGTTTCAACAAAGTCAAAATATATCAAAACAAAACGCTCGTTCGTTCGTCGACAAACGGACGAATATTCTTGTGACGATGCGATTTGATGCGATGTTATTACGACGGCGAAAACCAGTCACCTGAAAGTACACCCAGTAAAGCTGAGAGCATAAGGCTCGAAATGCTCGATCGACAAACTGCAGTGACGCGGGCATCGAAATAAGAAGATATGAAGCTGTACAAAGCACACAAGTAGCATCGAGCCAATCGAGTCATCGAGGCAACGACGTCGAACTAGCTTTTCAATGCACATCGCTGCTTCGGTGCAACTACCAGACTCGAAAATGAGTACTGTGACGTCATGAGATGCCCATTAATCTACTATAGATATGAACTAAGCCATTAGTTGTATCCTCAAACAGAATCACGACTAGTGTCGAACGGTGTTAATGACGAAATCGATAGTTAACAGCGACCAACCATCAACGAAATGACGAAAACATATGACATTACATGACATCTACCAGAACATACTCTTACGGGAAATGAGGTCAGCGCAGAAGAAATAACGATCGAAAGCGAATCATGGCACACAAGTGATTCACGTCAATTTCCGCAAGCGTCGTCCATTACACGACTCAAAGGAGTAAACGAAAAAAGTACTTCAATTTTCTGACAACATTCTAAGAGTACGGCATGAGGCTTCATTTCTCTTTCCTTGAGAGATAAAAAACGAAAATAAAATGAAAACAAATGTCTGCAACCGAACAAATGCCGGTCTTTCCTACACTTTTATGACTCAGCCATTTCTGGCACCCTTCTTAACATGGAATTATTTGTAAAGCGCTGATTTCCATTTCCACACGATCAGCCAGAAATGTCTTGTTTTTTAAGGCAGATTCTACAACCATGTTGGAAGCACAGCCAGAGGTCTTCCGTTTCATTCCCACAGAGTGGTACTCATTTACAAACCTCGGAACGAAGAAATGCGAGTGATCCCGAGAGGACTCAAGCAGGTATCTCGTGATTCTCAGTTGGACGTCCTACCGACAGAACAACCCTGGTCTTAAACAACGCTTGGTAAATTCGTTGTTCAAAGAAACTGGTGTCATCGAATCCAACACCTCCGAAGTCTAAAGTCGAACCCTCATACACACAGTCACCAAACCACCAGACGCAAAATTTCACATGTAATGCATGTCACTTTCTGATCATCTACTGCTACATCTGCCAAAAAGATCTACCGAAAGGTAACACATACCAATGACTAACACTATCACTCACTGATTACAAAATTTAATAAAGAATCGCAAACGACCAACTGATACATCAGGTAGATCAACGGACAACGCAACGAGGTACGCAATGCTAATTCATCCATTCATTTGCTTAACAACCACTACAGCCGAGAGAAAACTTTTATTCAACGTAAAATGGTCTCCAAGAATTGAAGACAGTGGTAATAGCGAAAACGCTAAATTTAAAACTCACCCTGCAAAATTAGCCATATAATATAAGGGTTACCCAAAGGGTTTACTCTGCACAAATATTACACACAATTCGCCGCCGGAAGTTCAACTTCAGGGACGATATTTCTTAGTAAACTGTTAGTGACGTGGTCACTGAACATGAATAACGTGTCGTATATCGATGCCAAAGAAAACATTTACAGACTAACATGATCAATAACTATACTCCAGCACAAAGAATTCAAGTATACCTTTAAAACTGTTATGGATGCATTCAATCCGAACACCAAGCACAATCGATGCTATCACGACCTGCAACAGTTACCATTTACATAATCAACATGCATATTATGAATACTGTAACCGAGAAAGTAACCTAATTATGAACGTCTTCATGGCGATTATAAAATATTACAGAGTAATGTTCCTTCTAGTGAAGCAATTATGTTGGTGGCGAAAGCGATGTTAGAGAATAAATGGAATTGTTCACGATAATTATTGACGTTACCATTACTGATTATCACGTGCATCGGAAGATCATCATGAAGACCGATATCAACCAATCTAGAGTTATTGCAACCGACATGATAATCGTGATGGCGCTGCGTTGCTAGAGTAAATTTGGTTAAGTTGGTACAGTGCAATCACCATGACAATCAGATGCGTGAGGGAAATCCTGATGATAATCATGCAAAAAATAAAAATGTTAAGTAGCTATGCAAATCAACACTGAAATGATCGTCTGGATGATTCATCTTTATTATCACTGAGATCATTCGCATCATTTTCATTGATTATTATCGTCATTAATACAATAACCATGATCAAACGGCATTGATGAAAAAGATATCACTTATGTTGACGTCGAAAATAATTATGATCACGACGTTTCTGACCATCAATATTAACCATTCCCTCATCACCACCTAATGATGCGGTTTCTGATGAGATCACGAGAATGGTAATTACACTGAGTGGAAACACAAGGAACCATTTTACATTTCGGTTGCAATATGGTCATAGTTATAGAAGCCCTATATGAATACCTTCTCTTACACAAAATTCAGCTTTTCACTAAATAGAGCATTTTACATCATTATTTCAAAAGACATATAGCGGGGCGGTGCACAGTTGCAAAGAGGTTGGTTCCAAACTCTGGAGGTGCCGTTTCGAATTTAGAGAAGAATAAATCTGGTAAAGAAAACGATAACATGGAAGAAATAACCAGTCTCGAACGTTCACGATCCAGCGCATGAGTCTAAGCTTCAGCAGAAGATATCATGAATCGGTCAAGAACTTGCTACAGGTGATTCTAGGCCGTCCCTAGGGCCATAGACGGTCGAGCAAGTACCAACTGTCTCGCATATCTTAAAGAAAGCATTCGCAAGATGTGCCAAACCATATTAATTAAGGAAATAGTAAAAAATGCAAACAACACTGAATATTAACAATAT